TTGTCCCTTGAGAAGGTGGCAGTGAGCTGTTTCCTCGAATTGCTGCATCCTAAGTAGTGTAGGTGCATCCATTATGCTGTTCAGGAGGGAGTATAGATGAAGAAGAAATGGCCAGTCTACTTCCCAGTCAGGGTGGTGTGTAGCTCAGGGGGAAACCTGCAGGTGGCAGTGCTCCTAGTGCACCTGTTGCTGGTGTTGTAGATTGAAGCAGAGCTTCAGGATGGCCAGCCAAAGAGGTTGGGTTGTTCCCATGAACCTGGTGACTCTGCCCACTGTGGCACTGAACTCCAGAGATCTGAAAGCCCCCATGTTTCATTTGCTTAAACGAGGATGGAGGATTGGATATAATAATTGAGGGTTCATCTCCCTGATCAGTTGCTTATCGAGAAGATTTCTTAGTGAGCTGTGATTCTGACCTAGCATTGCTGAGGCTTTAATCGTATAGCCTGCTGATCCCTCGGGTGTGGCGGAAATAAATGGAGTGGCCAATTCCAATGGAGTTCTGTCAGGTGGAATATGGTTCGAACCTGAATTGTTCAGTGCTTCTGTTGGCTGTGTCATTCTAATCCTGTACCCTCTTTTTGTTTTAACCCACAGCCTCTAGAGAAGGTTGACAAAGACCCCAGTCTAGGTAACAGTAAGTACTTTCTGTGGCTTTGTCTCTCTTGCATTCTTTACTCCCTCACTTTCCCTTCCTCTATCCTTTCCTCCCTCGCTCAATCCTACCATCACTCACTTCCCTCTTTTCCCATTCTTTTCTTGTCTTTCTCCTCTTCCTGTCATGTGCATGCATGTACACACATGCGCACACACACACACTTACCTTCTCATGGGTCAGCTGGAGACCATTCAGTCCTTTGAGCCTGCATCACCAATCAGTTAAACAATGGCCAACCATTACTTACCCCAAATGCTTTGCTGCAAAACCCTTGCTATCCTTCCTGTCGTTCTACACACAACGCCCGCCTGCAAGCCCATGGCCCCATTCTGGGGGTGAATATCTTACAGACGGTGGATTTTGACATGTGAGCCACAGCCGAGCCGTGCAAATATGTTATGGCTGACTCATCGTTGCTGGCTGGGCGGGTGTCAGTGGGTTAGTCTGGCTGTCTTGTATTGTCTGGTAGTCCCACATCACCACCTTGGGTGTCTTAGTCATTAGGAACAATTACATTTGTCGAATCCATTCTTGCCCTTCAAGGCAAGCGTGCTGAGTCAGTCTGTGTCTGACCTGATTTTCAGTATTTACTGATTTATTATGGCAACAGAAGGAGGCCATTCCAGTGCATCATTGTTAATCATACACTTAACTGAATCCTATTTCGCAGCCTGCGCCCCTTACGCCTTGTTATGGGTCAGTCCAGATCCAGGAGGAGCCGTTTTAGAATTAGGAGTCATCCTTTTTGCACAGAAATGAGGAAAAATTGTCTGAGGATTGTGCACCTTTAGAATTCTGCAGCTCAGAAGGTAGAAGCAGTGTCACTAACAATTTTTAGGGTGGGGTGGACAGAATTGCGAGAGGTAAGGAAATCGAAGATTATTGGGTGTAGATGGGATTTTGAAATTCAACACACAGACAAGTAAGTCATGACTTTATTGAATAAAGCTCAGTCCTCAAGAATTTGTATCCTTTCCTGGGTATTTTCATTAATACTTGTGTTGGGGTAAAAGTGTTTCACTTAAATTGTCTCACTCCAATGTTAAGATGATGTCCCCACTCTTCCATTTCTCCACTCTAGGAAATTGTTTCTCTTATCTACCCTTCGAAATCTTTGCAACATTTTAAACACTTTAATCTTCAACAGTCACAGTTTAATGAACCTATCTTCTAACCTGAACCCCTTAAGCCCTGGTATCAGGTGTCATGGGTCAGAAGTCAGCAGGAATGTGAAGTAATGAGATTAGCTGTCAGTTTATTGAATGGCGGAGCAGGCACAAGGGAACAAGTGGCCTGTTTCTGCCCCTAAGTTGTATTGTTCAGATAAACTACATCCTCCCGTCGCTAAGGCCAATATATCTTTCCTGAGATATCCATTGAAAGTGTTACCTCTCAGACATCCTGTCTGTCTGAAGGCACTCACTCTGGTGCCCTTTCATCTCCTGCTTTGCCTCTTCTTGATGTTCAAACCTAGACTATGAAATGCACATTCCTCCAGCACCTTAACGTAGTAAAGTGTCCCCCCCATTTGCCACCTCTGCTTCCCAAGAGCATAATTAGACAGGAATTCATAGTAAGTCGCATAAGGAGACACTAAGACATGACTTCATTTGATTTATTATTGTCACATGTACTGAGATACAGTGAAAAGTATTGTTTTGAGTGCTAACTAGGCAAATCATTACCTTGCATAAGTGCGTCAAGGTAATAGAACAGAATTCAGAATACAGCATTACAGCTACATGTGATCAAAAGTTTAGTGCCACATGTAGAAACATAAACATAGGAGCAAGAGGAGGCCATTTTATCCATCAAACCCACCCTGCCATTCAAAATGATCATTGCCAATCTTCTATCTCAACCATACCCCTTGACACCTATAGCCTCTAGGAATCAATTTCTTTCTTTCTTAAATATATTCGATAACTTCATTGCCAGGCTTGTGCTGCCCATCTAAGTGAAGAAAATTCTCCTCTCAGTCAGAAATGGTCTATCCCTGTATCCTAAGACACCGTCCCCGCATCCAGCCCTGTCAGGATTATATGGATTTCAATAAAATGTCCTCTCATTCTTCTAAACTACAGTGAATACAGGTCCAGTCAACCTACTTTCTCCTCGTACAACAAACCTGTCATCCCAGGAATCAGTTTAGTGAATCTTCTCTGCATTCCCTATATGGCAGTTATATGTTTTCTTAGATAAGCAGACCATAAATGAACATAATCCAACAGTGTGATCTCACCAAACTCCAGTACAGCTGCAGTAAGACTTTCCTTGCTCCTATACTCAGTCCCTCTTGTAGTGAAGCCCAACGTGCCATTACCCTTCCTAACTGCTTGCTTCACCTGCACGCTTGCTTTCAGTCGCTGTTATATAAGGACACCCAGGTCCCTTTGTACATCAAAACTCTCATCTAGTTCTTATTGTCAGCAAGCTACTTACAAACCCACTTACTTTGTTTTCGTCTCCTGCAGAAACCTTGTGCATCTCTCGGCCAGTTAAGGACGGAGGTCAGATTGGCTATGCGATCCCTTTGGAGATGAGGTACTGATAAAGGTTTGTTTTCTGTGCTGGGCAGAGCATAAATTTCACCACTTCCAGGTCAAAGGTTGCTACTGCCAATGGCTGAAAAGAAACAGGAGAGCCATGAGGCCAGAAAGTCTTGAGCTTGCTCTCTTGTTTTGTATTAGACTCAGAATCATGTCACATAGAAAGAAGGCCATTTGGCCCATCTAACTTGTGCTGGACTTCAAATACCAATCCATTGAGTCCTAGTCCAATCCATCTATTTTCCCTCTCCCTGCAAATTTCTCATAATAAGTGTTTACTCAGTTCCCTTTTCAAAGTTTGAAATGTTTCTGATATTGAGGGATATTTGTGGGGACCTTTGGATCCCTTGCCTAAGGAAGGACATAGAGTCGATTCCTGAGATCAGAGAGGTCAATGAGCCTGTGCCTCTATTATTTAGAATCTTAAAGGATGAGAGGTGATCTCATTGAAACTCATGGGAAAAAGTCTTACAGGGTAGATGCAAGAGAAGTGGGCGAATAGACTTAGGGGACACAGCCTCAGAATTAGGGACAGGCCATTTAGGACTGCTCAGGAAAGTCTTCACTTAGAAGTTGGCGAATCTTTGGAATTCTGTCCCCCCAGAAGGGCTGAGGAAGCTCAACCTTTGAGCAGGTTCAAGACCAGAAATCAATCCTTGTGGGGATAGTGCAGGGAAATGGCATTGAGGTAGACAATAGACATCAACGGCAGTTCATTTGAATTAAGGATGATATCTGTCAGGCTAGGTGAGTCTTTGGATGGCTCAAAAGAGATTTACCAGGATGTTGCTGGGAATTGAGGGTTTGAGTTATAAGGAGAGGCTGGATAGGCTGGGACTTTTTTCATTGGAGGGTAGGAGGTTGAGAAGTGACCTTTATTGAGTTTTATAAAATAATGAGTATAGATAAGGTTAGTGGCAGGTGCCTTTTCCTTAGGATTGGGGATTTCAAGACTAGGGAGCATATTTTTTAAGGTGAGAGGAGAAGGATTTTAAACAAGATGAAGGGCAGTTTTTTTTTTTTACACAGAAGGTGGTTCACGTGTGGAATGAACTTCCTGAGGATGTGTTTACAGTTACAATGTTTAAAAGACATTTGGATAAGTACATGAATAGGAAAGGTTCAGAGGGGTATGGACGAAGCGCAGGCAGGTGGGACTAGTTTAGTTTGGGATTATGGTCAGCATGGACTGGTTGGATTGAAGGGGGAGATTGAATCAGAGATAGTAGGAACTGCAGATGCTGGAGAATCCGAGACAACAAGGTGCAGGGCTGGATGAACACAGCAGGCCAAGCAGCATCATAGGAGCAGAAAGGCTGACGTTTCGGGCCTAGACCCTTCATCAGAAAAGGGGGAGGGGAAGGGGGTTCTGAAATAAATAGGGAGAGAGTGGGAGGCGGATAGAAGATGGATAGAGGAGAGGATAGGTGGAGAGGAAACAAACAGGTGGCGGATGCTCTGTTTCCGTGCTTTATGACTCTATGGCTGAGCAGCCAATATGGGATCCACAAGTTTTTCTGCAGTTGGAGCACGTTGTTGCGTGGGATTTATAGCCTTAGGTTGGCTTTCTCCTCCATCGCTGCTGCTACCATTCCACTTTGTGGTTGAATTGTTTCTAAGTGGCTTGGGCCTTGATAGATCAGTAGGAGCTATGTTGACTGGTTGCAGCCTTTGGTCCCAGTAAGTGGTAGAAGGTAAGCCATGATCTAGAATAGCAGGGCTGGCTGTATGGGCTGAATGGCCACCTCCTCTTGCTGTGTATCTATGTTTTTATGTTCCCGTTGAACGTGCTTCCACTGTCCCTTCAGGTAGAATGTTTCAGATCACAACTCGCTGCTTCAGGTTTTCTTTTTACAAGTTCTCCTAGTTGCCAATCTCGCCATTTTTGTCAGTCCCCTGGTTACCAAATCTTTTCACCTTAATCAACTGGGTGCAGCAATAGGTCATGAGTCAATAGGAACAGAAGTAGGCTATTCAGCCCGTCAAGTCTGTTCTGCTGATCTGATAATCCTCAACTCCACTTTCCTGCCTTTTCTCTATAACCCTTGATTTCCTTGCTGATTTAAAATCTGTCTGTCTCGGCCTTGAATATACTTAACAGCTCTCTGCGGTAAAGAATTCCATGGATTCAATACCCTCTGGGGGAAGGAATTCTTCTATGTCTTAAATGTGTGACATCTTATCCTGAGATTATGTCCTGTAGTCCTAGACACGCACACACAAGGGGAAATAACCTCTCTCCATGTCAGAGATAGTAGGCTAAGTCCCCTAAGAATCTTGTATGTTTCAATAAGGTCATCTCTCATTCTTCTCAAATCCAGAGAGTACAGACCCAATCTGCTTCGTCTCTCCTCGTAAGAAAATCCCACCATATCTAGTATCAGCCTAATGAACCTTGGGAAAGTAATAGAACAGGCCTTTCGGTCCATTGTGTTTGTGCTAGTCATCAGACATCCATCTAGACTAATCCCATTTTCCGGCACTTGACCTTGTATGCTACGTCACCACACAATGATCTAAGCAGATAGCACACACTACAGGAAGGAAGTGAAGGCATCAGTGAAGGTGAAGAAAAGGCAGTTATGTGGCTAGCTTTGAGAAGCTGAGGCTGCTGTCCTCAGAGAGGAGATTTTGACAGAGGTATTGAACATCACATGGGGTCAAGACAGAATGGAGAGGAGCTTTTCTTGTTGGTGGGCAGATTGAGAGCCATCAGGTGCTGATTCAGGGCAATTGGCAGTAACAAGGAGAAACTTTCTTTTCTATGCAACAAATGGTTCAAATTTGAGCTGCGCTATATGTCTGAAGGCAGATTCATTCTAGGTCTTCCAAAGGAAATTGGGCGATTATTTCAAGGGAAAAGAAAAATTGCCAGGCTATGGGGAAAAGGTAGGGGAGTAGGAATGAGCAGGTTGTGCTTAGAGAGCCAGCATGAATCAGATGGGCTGAATGATCTCCTGTGCTGTCTCCATTTGGTAATTTTAACTTCTTTTAAGTTAAGTGGCAGGGAGAACAATAAAGAGAAGGATATATTGATGGGGTAACATGGAGAGGGAGATGAGAAGGGAAGAAATTTGTGTAGAGCACAAATACGGAAGTAGATCTGGTGGGCCAAATGATCTGTTTCTCTGCTGCGAGGCAGACTCGAAAGACCAAATGGCATAGTTCTGCTCCCATGTCTTATGGATTCTGTGTAATTCTCTGCAAAATGTCTTTGTCCAGGAGTTTGACGTTGGTACAGATGCTGACCAGCTGTTTCAAGGACATTGGCTGGATGGCAGAGAGCACCAAGGTGCATGGAGATGTTGGGCTTATGGTCATGGACACGTTCCCCCACATGCCTTACTTCTGGGCCATGAACCTGACTCCGGTAAGGGGGTAGGGCAATGGGTAAAAGCACATTTAAATGATTTGTTGCCGTTTGCAGAACCATTTGAAGAATGCGCTAGGCTTCATTTGCAGTTTCAAAAGTGCACTGTATTGTCTGAGGGGTGCTTTGTCTACAGTGATGTACCAGGTTACTAATGAGTTGGAAAGCATCGGTTGTGGAGGCCAAAATGCACAGACTAGACCCATGTTCCCTCCAGTTTGGGATGACTAAAAGGTGATCTAGTTGAGCTGTTCAAGATGAACAAAGTAATTGATAAGATAGATAGAAACTGCGCCCTCTAGTGGCGTGACTACAGGGAGCTTTGTAAACTTCATTGTGCTGTAAACACTGGATAATTTTAAATTGACATCACTAAAAATAAAACCATCTGGTTGTTGTCAGTGCAAGACCTGGGGGATCCTGCTATGCACCCATCTGGTGCAATTTCGTCACTCAGCAGGTGGTGAATTCCCGGCTATCATTGTCCTGCGGCGGGGGTGGGGGGCGCTTGTTTACCATTGACCAGAAACTGAAACAGACTAGCAGTATAAATAATGTGGCTGCAAGAGCACATTGGAGGTTGGGAATCCTGTAGCAAGTATCTTCCTCTCCCATCTCACCAAGGCCTGTCCAAGTTCTACAAAGCACAAGTCGAGTGTGTCATTCCAGCTGCCTGGATGAGTACCACTCCACCAATACTCGGAAGGCTAATAGGCACCCCATCCCTCACCTTCAACATTTACTCCCTCTACTACCAATGGTCAATAGCAGCAGTGTGCACCATCTACAAAAGACACTGCAGCAACTCACCAAGGCTCCTCAGATAGCACCTTCCAAGCCCATCTTGTGCTGCCGTGGTCCTTCATATATGGGGACACCACCACCTGCAGGTTCTCCTCTGAGCCACCCACCATCTTGACTTGGAAATGTATTGCCATACCTTCATTGTTGCTGGATCCAGATCCTGAAATTCCCTTCCTAGCTGTCCTGTGGGTGTACCTACACCATATGGACTACAGTGGTTCAAGAATACAGCTCAACATCACTGCCTCAAGGGCAATTAGAGATGGATAATAAATACATCCACATATCATGAATGAATAAAGAAAACTGTCCCAGGTGACCATGGAAACTCAACCTTGAGCATTTAAGACAGAAGTTGATTTCAGTATTATTTTTAAATTAAAGATAATGGGGATGATGCAGGAAGATGGTGTTGACACAGATCAGCCATGATTTCCTTGAATGGTGAAGCAGGTTCCTAATTGTTACCATTTCTGTTCCCCTACATGACACCACTGTGGGTGGTTCTGAGACCCTACTTTGGAGATGCATGTTCATTGGTTGTGCATGGTGGAGGAGTTGAGGATTGGCAGTAGGCTGAAGGTGTGGGGATGTGTAAAGTGACACACAAGCAGAGGTCAGACCTAATGGCCTTGGGGTTTAATGAGAATGATGACCTTTGCAACAGGAGACCTATGTGAAGATGTGCCAGCTGTTCAACACGCTCTCTGTGGTCACCCAGGAGCAGCCATTCCTCAAGGAAGAAGAGGTACAGAGGGGCCGACGCTGCATGGCGGAATTCCCAGGAGAGGCTGGGGAATGGAATAGGTCAGTGAGCTCCTTTATTGCTTCCCTGGCAATAAAATTGGTTCTGCGCTTACTACCTTGACTCCAAAGGGATTTACATCCTGCCCAGTTGATGCTGGAGACACGTCATTTGGAAACATGCCAATTTTGAACCTCCATCGTAGAATCGCCCAGCTCAGAAGGCGGCCATTTGGCCCACCCTGCCTGTGTCAGCTCTTTGACAGAGTAATCCTCTTAGTCCCCTCTTGTTTCGGCCCCAGGATTGACTTAATGAATACATGACGGGGCATGATGTGAGCTATGTATTTAAATATCGTTTGCACATCTATGCTCTCCATCAGCAGCATCTCTGTAAATCTCACTCGTGCCTCGAGTCAGAAAGTCAGGGGTTCGAGTCCACTGAAGGAGTGCTGTGCTATAGGATGCACTGTTTTGCAGGCAAGGTGGTGAACTCTGTTCCAGTCTGTCCAATGGAACTATCACAACCACTGCCCCGCTCCCCCCTCTTCAAGGAAACATAATATTCAGTTTCCACTCTTGGGAGAGAAGCAGGCGTGTTCTCACTGGTGCTCTGGACCATTTTAATCCCTATAAATCACCAAGATGCTGGGACCAGAACATGCTCCTGATTAAGTCTGAACTCCAGTAGCTTGCTCCCTGTCACTTTTAATGTGTAGTGCAGCCACTGTTGATGCACAGTGCCACCTACAGCCCCAAATCAGTATAACCAATCAAAGTCTTAGCACGGACACATCCAGAGGACCAGGTGGACCTGGCCGAAAAGAATCTCTGGTCTTGCTCTCATCGGCTGACTTTAGCCGGGCAGCGGTGGTGGCTGCACACAATTGACTGACCCCCATCCACCCCCAGGCCAGGTATTGGCGTTGCCCTCCATGGCTGATCAGTTGGTAGTCATGTAATCAGCTGTCGAGGTCTGGATTTTCCTCTCCCATCACCCCTCCTCTTTAATATGGTCCTTAAAACTGACCTCTCTGACTGAGTGTTTGGTCACCTGGCCCCAGTCTATCCTTACGCAGCTCAGTTTTTTTATTTTTGGTCTTATTTATGCTCCCAAGAAGCAGCCTGTCCGAAGGTAAGCTCTTGCACAATGACTTCTGGAGAACAGTAGCATTCATTTAGATTAAAGCATCTTTAGGAATTTAGGGAAGGTGGATCTGGCTAAAATGAAAGCCTGGGATGAGTGGGAGGAAGGGGAAGAGATTGCTGTAGACAGCAGGACACTGTGTAGTGGACTTGCCTAGCCCCATCTGGCAATGCTTCAACATCACAGCCACAACAGATCACACTTGACCTTGCTGAACATTCTGTCTCTGTCTCGTGCTCCCCAACTGCTCACAGAATGAGGATTATATCTCAAGACCCACCTGTTTCTTTCTGTCTGTAGGTGTTGGATCGTGGATGTCGTGGAGAGTCGGGTCATTCTGTTTTACGTGGATTCAGGGAGTACAGCCTGTGTCCCAGCACCATCTGTGAAATCTTTGGATAAAGATGAGTTCTGGGCCATCCCGCCTCTCATTCAGCCCTTTGTCCTACAGCAAGGTGAGTCTACTCGTCACTTTGGCTTTCTGTTCCAGATTGTCCTTGACAACCATCCCACTTTTACCCCATGGGCACAACGTAACAAGAAGGGCAGTTCACCCACACCAATGTGTCCTTCAGTTGGTGATGCAACGGGGGTGGTGCGGTGACTCTGCTATTAGCATTAGCACTGCTGTCTCACAGCACCAGGAACCCAGGGTCAATTTTCCATCTTTGGGTGGGTAATTGTGTGGAGTTTGCACATTCTCCCTGTGTCCTTGCGGGTTTCCTCCAGATGCTCCAGTTTCCTTTCTTGGTTCATGGATGTGCAGGTTAGGTGAATTGGCTATGCTAACTTGCCTGTTAGTGTGCAGGCAAGGTGGGTTAGTCATGGTAAATGTCGGGTTATGGGGACAAGAATGGGGGGGCGGGCATGTTGTTTTTGGAGGGTTATAGAACATAGGACATTACAGCGCAGTACAGGCCCTTCGGCCCTCGATGTTGCGCCGACCTGTGAAACCAATCTGAAGCCCGTCCAACCTAAACTATTCCATTATCATCCATATGTTTATCCAATGACCATTTAAATGCCCTTAAAGTTGGCGAGTCTACTATTTTTGCAGGCAGGGCATTCCACGCCCTTACTACTCTCTGAGTAAAGAGCCTACCTCTGACATCTGTCCTATATCTATCACCCCTCAATTTAAAGCTATGTCTCCTCATGCTAGCCATCACCATCCGAGGAAAAAGGCTCCCACTGTCCACCCTATCTAATCCTCTGATCATCTTGTATGTCTCTATCAAGTCACCTCTTAACCTTCTTCTCTCTAACGAAAACAGCCTTTCCTCATAAGACCTTCCCTCCATACCAGGCAACATCCTGGTAAATCTCCTCTGCACCCTTTCCAATGCTTCCACATCCTTCCTATAATGCGGTGACCAGAACTGTACGCAATACTCCAAGTGCGGCCGCACCAGAGTTTTGTACAG